TTAACTTTGCCAAATTGTATCGTCTCCATATGTAAACCCCAGAAGCTAACAGTGACCTCAATATCAAATTTCGGCATTCCAGCTCTACACAGTCACTCAATTCTAAACTTATTACTTTTCGTATGATTTTAGTTCACATATCAAAAACAAGTCCATATCTCAAATTCAGATACCAAATAAAAGACCTTAATATCAAATTTCAATAATTCAGCTCTATAATATCCACCTTAACCAAATATAGTACCATTTAGTACAATTATAGTACAAATTTCCAAAAACCACCTTCTTATTTCAACCACAGACACCAACAGTAACATATATAGTAAATTTCAGGATTCCAGCCCTTCAATTTCATCCAATACCAAAATTTGGTACCATTTAGAACTTTTTGTACAATTATAGTTCACATTTTTTAACGACATCTCCATATCTCATCTCCAGATACCAACGTAGAGCCAAATATTAAATTCAGGATATCAGCTCTATTCATCCATCCAATAACCAATTCAATACTATTTGGTACTTTTCGTACTATTATAGTACACATTTCCAAAACCACATCCCCATCTCAATTTAGATACCAACAGAGACCTCAATATCAAATTTCAGAATTTTATCTGAAGACCAAATTTAGTACCATTCAGTACTTTTCGTACAAATATATTACGCATTTCCAAATCACTGCCGAATCTCAACACAGATGCTATGACCTCAATATAAAATTTCAGAATTTTTTCTTTATACCTTCACCAATACTACAACAGTACAGTTGAGGACTTTTCGTGCAATTATAGTACACATTTCCGAAACTTCCTTCATATGTTCAGGTTACACATGAAAAGAGGCCCTTATACCAAATTTGACATTTCAAGCACTATCTATTCATCCAATAGCAAATATAGTACTATTTAGTACTTTTCGTGCACTTGTAGTGCTCATTTCCAAATTCATCCAATACCAAATATAGTACTACTTAATACTTTTAGTGCACTTGTAGTGTTCATTTCCAAAACCACCTTCCTATACCATACTAATGCCCAACCTTGATTCTCATACCAAATTTCAAGTTTTAGATCTATCTGTTCACCAAATGGTACAAATTTTAGAACTTTTCGTACCCTTTAAGTTCGAATTTTCAAAAAGACTATCAATGGCACTCAGAATTCTAGCTCATTCCGTTTGTCCAATACAAAGTATTACATTTGTAGTACATTTTAGTACGAATTTCACAAAACCCAGCTTTATCGCACACCTACGTTCCAAGACTGACCCTCGTGCAAAATTTCAAGATTCTAGATTCTCAGTCAGTCAGTTATTTTACTACTCTACTATATATTTTGGGTTCGGGCTGTCAGTCATAAAAGGAGAGATATTAAGATTTTTTGGGAAAACCCATGAAATATTATGTTTTACATATAAATCAGGACCATAAAACAAGGTATGTTTTAGATTTTTGGTACGGTCAGTGCTATTCCACATTTTTAAAAAATATTTTTCAACAAACACACATAAGACCAAAAGGCCTTCATTTTGTATAAATATTCTACATCTATATAGGAAACTTTAAAAATAAACAAAAAAATTATTAAAAATTCATCGACAGCCACCTCAATAATAACAAACATTATTAAAAATTCAGCCATCAGAATACACACCCCCAGATTTGAGCAAATCAAAAACGTTTTAACTTTCAAAACACTGACACAAACCCCCATCCCCCCACACCTCACCGTAGAAGATTTATCCAACATAAGACGAAGTCGTAGTAGTTGTAGTCGTATTTTCCACCGCACTCAGTACATGATATAGAAATACAAAACAACAATTCAAACCACAAACACACAAATAGAAAACTTGTTTTTTCATAAAACAAAATAAAAGAAGAAAGGGAAATCTCCCTCCCCAACACATAGGCCCCCAACGAATTATTTTAGTTTTTATTCTATGGACTACGGAACAGAATTTACTCATGTTATAAGAGAAAGAGAGAGAGAGAGCTTAAGGGAGCACAAACACTCTTTTCATTGAAGTGAATAAAGCTTTCGCAGTGATGCCAACTTTTCGTCAAAACAAAACGCTAATTTACTGAAAAAAAATGAAGCCATATAAATGCACATTTATAGAGAAATGTCAAAAGTAGTAAAAATTGTAGATTCTCTTTTGTAAATGAACGACCATTATTTCCTTTCAAGCAAAACTACACTTGGTTTCTTTTTATACCCACTACATGAAAAAAGAATTATTGTACCCTTAATTCTGTTACATTCCGTTTGTAACATCCCTAAATATTCGTCGTGGACCCCATAAAGTACATATATTCATGATCAGCATAAAATTCTAATTCGATTTAAAAATTTTCGTCCGTCTGTCTGCTGAAATCATGATACAGCCCACATTATTTGACGTAGAGCTTCAAAATTTAGCAAAACAATTTGTATTGTGTCTTAGATGGTTGGTATTGAAATAGAGATATATCGGTCCACGTTTTGATATAGCCGACATATAACGGTACCTCGCAATATTTGGTATTTTGATGATTTTTCGCCACATTTTCCCATGGGTGATTTCTCTAAAAAGTGATATTTGTAGTTCGCAATGGATTCTAGCTCCTGTGACAGAATATAGTAACTGGTCCACGTTTTGGTATAGCCCCATATAACACGTACCTCCCGCTATTCGGTATTTTGATGATTTTTGCCACATTTTTCAATGAATTTGTCTAAAAATTGGTATTTGTAGTTCATAATAGGTTCTAGCTCCGGCGACAGAACATTTTCATATACCACACACATGACGATACCCACCGATATTCGGTATGTTGATACTCCTAGTCACTTTTACCCACAAAATTGTTTCAAACTTGGTATTTTAGAAGATTTAGTAGATGACAGCCCTTCAAGTATAAAATTGTCTATAAAGGTTCCCGTTTTGATATGGTCCCATATAACGGCCTCCCTCACTTTATGGTTTTTTGATAAGTTTGAAGGTCTTTCACTAAAAACATACTGTCATGTAAGTCTGCTCATTGTGGCTGATATTGTTTTTCATTATCAACGGCATATCTTCCTCTTAGTTATGAAAATTTCATGGCATATTATTTATAATTAATCGACTGAATATTAAAATAAAACCTCCTATAATAGAAAAACATTCGTTTATTTTGACACAATTGGCGATTTTTATACTTCCGAATGTTTGCATCATTGTTTTATAGAGGGTGAAATAAAAAACTGCAACAAAGTCAATCGCCATAATTTTTACAATTTTTTTTTTTAATTTTATTGAATGAAAGCCAAAAATGTTGGAAATATCATCAAATTTTAGAATAAGTTTCGATTTGTTTGAATTGGTCACATTTGGTGCGAATTATGGCCTTCAAACGACCAATAAGACCGTCACACGCTGCCCGAATGTTGCTCTGCGGTATTTTGGCCCATTTCCTGCGAAGCGCTTTCTGAAGGTGATGGACACTTTGGTATTTTTTTAGTGCCAGCCTAGTTTTCCAAAATTCTGCAGACACAATAGTCCAACGGATTGGTATCCGGAGATTTTGGTGGTCATTGTGTGCTGGAAATGAAGCGACGAAGCTCATTTTTGTAACCATTCTTGGGTGGCGCGTGCTGAGTGCGATGGTGCTGTTGGAATGTTCAAGGTCTGCGGCCAAAATGTTTGCGTGCCCAAGGCTTTAATACGACCTTCAGAATATATTCGCTATAATAATTGGCATTTATTCTGATGCCACGGTCGATTAATAGGAGAGTGACCATCGGCTGTAATGACGGCCCACACCATCACCATGGCCGGTGCCTGAGTTCTGGTGGCCAACCGAAGGTGCACATTTTCAGTTGACCTCTTTGGCAAGTAAACACGATCATTTTGCTTGTTTACAAACTGCTGGACAATGAATATTTTCTCATCTCGAAGAAAACCATATTCGGCAGTTCACCACTTTCGGCCAAGCGAAGCAACTCTTTAGCTCTTTTCAGTCTATTTTCTTTCTGTTGCGGTGTAAATTCTTGCACTTTTTGATATTTCAATGGCTTTACCCCGAGCTCATTTTTCAATATTTGTCAAATGGAATATTGCGATATGTTCAGCTAACGAGCCATTTTTCGGCCACTGCGACGCGGATTTCGATGAAGTCGCTTCTTTACTTTTCGAACCATTTTTGCTGATGTTGGTTTTTTCTTTCGTCAACTTCCTTGACGTCGGGCTACGCTACCAGCAGTATCACGGTAATGAGCGATGGTACGAGACACAACAGATTTATTCACATTTAAATGCTGGAGTGCTCTAACGATAGCCACTTGTGGTTTTCCAGCCAAATATAAAGAAATCACACTTGAATTCCATCACGAATAACTTTTTTCTGGAAAATTCTCATGGAAAATGCTTCTGTACGCTTGAAAATAATATAATGAGCTGTCACTGGAATTTAACAGCTCTCGTACGAGTGGCTTAGAAAAGACAGCAGTCTGAAGTTGGTTGCAGGTTTTTCATCTCACCCTGTATATCTTCATCCAATTTCACGTTTACTGTGCACGAAAAGTGTACTTTTTCAAATAGGATGGATTTTGCCAAAAATCGTTTTGGACACAAATGCCTCTTTCAATTGTAGAGGAAATTTATTCAGGGTAGAGTATTCCTCCCATATTCCCATTAACTGAAAAACTATTCGACTGAATACTAAAATAACACCCCTTTAATAGAGAAACCTTTATTTCGTTTGATACAAATGACGATTTTTATCCTTCACCAAGTTTGCATCATTGTTGTGTGTATTTCGTTTTGTCAAGAGAACCCCCTTAACAATGACAAAATCCCAGAGAATGCAAGTCTCCCCTTTTTTACTCCCACACACAAATCCGCTCTTTACTGGTTTTGCTTCTCTCTTTCGCCTTAATTTGATTAACAATTTGCCGACGCCAATGTAGCTGCCATTGCTGCTATTATTGGTTGCGGTTTAACGTCTTTTTTTTATTGGAGAGCATTGTTGTTGGGGCAGTCGCTAGCGACTGGTTACGCTTGGCCGTTGTGCGCGTTTGTGCTTCTGTTTTGTGAGTCGTGAGCATACGACGAACGCGAGCAAGCAACGAATTTCTTATAATATTCGAGGTCGTCAAAACGCAAGTTTTCAGTTTAAAAATCGCACTTGTCGGAGCAACACAACAGAACAGAAACGAAAGAAAATAGTAGAGGGAACAAAAGAACTAAACATCTGCTGCTAGCTAATATAGAACTGTACACCAAGCAAACTTGCAGACAGATAACCAAACAAATAGAATTCAATTTAAATAAATAATATTAGATTAAAACAAAAGAAATAATTAAATTGAAATCAAGTTTTGAGATTTTTAATTGAAAAAAAAAAAACAAACGAATTTTGAAACGAGAATTGAAACAAATTAAACAAAATCTTGTGATGAAATAGAGTGAGTCTTGGAAGCGAAATCGAAGCAGATCGTATGCATCATGTGAAATGAAAGTAAAACTGTGAAATTTAATACAAAAATCACACACAACTCACTAGTTTTTCAAAATAGCTTCAAAAAATAAAAAAAAAAAACATAAGACAGAAAAATAAACCCAAAAAAAAAACTCAGACAACAAAGAAGCAGAGAAATCGCCAAATTAAATTATCAGCCAGCCAAGCCATCCCCACATCAAAGAAAAAAAAAACCGAAAACAAAGACAAGCCCCGAGATAACCTTTGTAAAGAACATCTCTCTTTTCGGTGTCTATAATTTTGGAAAATTCTTGAAATTATTGTGGCTTTCAAAGTGAATTTAAGGTAATTTTTTTGGGTTAAAAATTGTGATTTATTGTTAAAGAAAAATGACAATACCTGATTGTTTTTTATGTGTTTTTTTTTTCTAATTGGTATTTGCCTCTCTGGAACAAACATTTTTGTTGTGGCCCCAACATTCGGCCGTGTTGTTTGTGCGAGAGAAAATCGTCGGGAGGGGGTTTTGTGTAATTTGCCCCTAGCATTTTCTTTAAAATAGTGGATAATTAATGTGAAATATTATTACTAATTATTTAAAGAAATGAATATTTAATTATTGATTGCTTATCTATTTGTGTGCTGTCAAATTCGCTCATAATTGATTCATGTCATGTGTTGTGCCACTCTCTTGGCGTGCTACGTTATGTGCCAAAAACAGCTGATTGTCACAGTGGGAGTGATAAGTGTGTAACAAATTTAGTTAAATAGTGAAAAATGTTTATAACACACTGCAAAATTATAAAGAAAATATTAAAATATGGGAAAAAAATATCTTAAAAACTAAAAAAGAACTTTCAAGGACTTTTAAAACTCTCTACAACGTTTGAAAACACCTTTAAATCCCATCAACTGTGTGAAATCCAGTTTATCGACCTTTTTGAGTGCAAGATTCAAATTAAAGCAAAATCGGCGTGATCCGTCCCCCAAGAAAAAAATAGTTTCCCGGGATCAGAGTAAAAATAACTACCTCTGGAAAAAATTTCCAAAAAATCGAAGAGTTTTTACTAAACTAGAGTTGGTCCTAAGATTAAATTATTTGCAAACTTAGTTTTCAAGTAAATATTTAAGTGTATTCTAGACGTATTTTTGCGATTTTTATCATCCTGAAAATGCTGTTCATTGAATGGGGAAATATCGATGCAAAAACTCAATTATAATTAGACCTTGGTGATGTTAAAAAAAACATATGGCAGCTTTTTATGCCCTCGAACATGTGAAATACCTGACTTATTGTCAAATTGGTTATCTCAAAATTCCATACAAATTTGAAATTTACCTTAAGGCTGGAAATACATAAAGAGCATATTTGGCCGACTTAAGTCATCGGCTGGCTTCTTCTTGATGAACAAAGGAGGTTGACTTAGATTTTGGCCCTAGGCTCCTTTGTTCATTTCCGAAGAAGCCAGCCAGATAAGCGCTTTATGTATTTCCACCCTAAATTAAGACCTATACTGAAATTTTGTTGAGAGGATTTTATCTACCCGACAATTAAAAAAGCAACTAAGTTCGGCCGGGCCGAACTTTTTATACCCTCCACCATTTGGATGAATCTTGTAAATATTAAAAAACAATAAAAAATCCGTCGAAAAAGACGTGGTCCTGCATAAGTAAATTGTGTCATAGGCTGTAGTGACGGTTCCGAACTTAAAATGAGAAATTTGAAACAATTCCATTGAATAATGTCGCAAAAATCATGAAAATATTGAATATGTGGGGAGCCGTTATATGGGCGCTATACTAAAAAGTGGATCTGTGTAGACAATTCTCTTCTAGGGAGTAAAGTACTTAGAGGGAACCCCTAGTGTAGATTTTAAGACAATTCCATTGAAAATGTTGGCAGAATTCATCAAAATACCGAATATCGGTTGGATATCATCTCACGGTAGCTGTTTAAATCAGTTTATCAATGGATTTTTCAAGGTCTATGTAAGGTCGATCTGTAATACCATCAAACAACTAAGTTTGCTGTCAAACTTCGTCTTCTTGTCCGACCTTAAGGTGAGAAGACATAAAAAGTTTTTTTGATTGGTTTAAGTCATCGGCAAACTTCTTCGAAAAAAAACAAAGTAGCGCAGAATCAAAATCGAAGTAAGTCAAATTAAAACTCCTTTGTTCATTTACCAAGAACTCAGTCGATGACTTAAGCCAGTCGAAAAAGCGTTTTATGTATTCTACCCTTTATGTAGGCCTTGGGATTTATGAATTTAGAATTCGACAATAATGTTAACATCTTAATTTTACCATGATTAAACCCTTCTATAGATAGAATAGTCATAGAAGTCATTCTTTTGCATTCATAGAAGATCTTCCAAATATCTTCTTCTGACGAAGGCAGGGTGGACGATATTATCTTATAATTTGATGTATATAATTATTTTTAGTTTGAAAACGAAAGTACCTATATATTTTTTGAACTTTTCGATCATTAGTCACCTGCAACGTTTTCCTCCATATATATAAAAACTTGGAACATATTACGCATATGTATTACTCAGAACAAGTGTTTTTGCATAAATAAATTAAACTAATGCATTCACCCACCCACCAACATTCGCATAACATTTATGCAATAATTTAGAAATTATGAGGGAATTAATGAAATAAAAATACTAAAAAAATATGTTTAAATATTTTAAGAAAATATATATGCATAAAATAAATAATATTATTCACTTCGAATGAATATTATTCACTTCAAACATTTACGAAACGATTTTTTAACTTTGAATAATTTTAATTTGATTTTTTGAAAGGTGAGAATACATAAAACGCTTTTGTGACTGGCTTAAGTCATCGGCTGGCTTCTTCGGAAAAGATCAAAGGAGCGTTGGGCCAAAATCGAAATATGTTAACCTAAAGATCCTTTTCATATTTCTTTATTTCTTTTATTTTTTTGCTACGTTTTTTTACGCGCAAGTGAAAGTACAAATTATATAGATTTTTTCCAAGAATTAATTGATTTTTTTTTTTCATTTATATCTTCCGTCAAATCATTAACATTTCTCATCGAAATAAATTAATTCAATTTTTTTTTTGTTTCTTTTTCTCACATTTAAAATAAACTTGAATTTTTTTATATGCAAATTGAATGCATAATAAAATAATAAACAAAATACAATAAATTATATTTTGTTTGATTTTGATAAAACTTTATTTAAAATCAGAAATTTAAATGTCATTTTTAACGAAAACGGAAATTATTTGCATTTCTGTCGCATTTGATTATTTTTTTTTTGTCTCCTTATTTTTCTTTGCTGGCAACCATACCAAACAGCTGTTATATTAAAAATAACAGTTAAGTTACACCCCCACCCCCAATTACGAGCTTCATACAGTCGTTATTTGACGTATAATAAATGGAATTGGCAATCCTATTAACGATTTTCATTTAAAGACTTTTAGAGGTAAAATTAGTAAAATAGCATGGTAAAAGTAAATCAAGGTAACAAAGGTCAAAAAATAATAATATCCAGCTCTGCATTTCATATAATTTATCTTATCAAATTTATATTTATTGAAAACAAATTTTATATCTGATTTGTGGTCATACCATGGTAAAGTTAAGAAGGTAAAGTCATTTCAAATAAGCATTAACATCTCTGTGTTTTCTGTAATATACCTGGCCCAATTCCACTGCGTTTCTACGCAGGGTTCCCATCTCTGATATGTGTACAGGATGAGATAAAAAAAAACTGCAAAAAAAGTCAAACGCCATAATCTTTAGATTTCTTTTTAAATTTTATTGAATGAAAGCAAAAAATGTCGGAAATAGCATCAAATTTTAGATTTGTTCGAATTGGTCACCTTTGGCACAAATTATGGCCTTCAAATGGCCAATGAAACCGCCACACGCTGCCCAAATGTTGCTCTGTGCTATTTTGGCCCATTTCCGGCGAAGCGCTTGCTTGAGGTGATCGACACTTTGGTATTTTTTAGTGCCAACCTTCCTTTCCAGAATACTCCCGACACAATAGTCAAAGTATTAGTATCCGGAGATTTTGGTGGCCATTGTGCACTGGAAATGAAGCGAGGATCCTCATTTTGTAACCATTATTGGGTGGCGCGTGCTGAGTGCGATACTGTTGAGTCCTGTTGGAATGTCCAAGGTCTGCGGCCAAAATGTGTGCGTACCCAAGGCTTTAATACAATTTCCCGAATATTTTCGCTATAATATTCGGCATTTTTTCTGATTAATACGAGCGGTCGATTAATACGAGCGGAGAGCGACCATCGTCTGTTATGATGGCCCACACCATCACCATGACCGACGCCTGAGTTCTGGTGTCCAACCGAAGGTGCACATTTTCAGCTGACTTCTTTGGCACGATCATTTCGTTTGTTTACAAACTGCTGGCCAACGAATGTTTTCTCATTGGAGCGGATAAAACCAAATTCGGCAGTTCACCACTTTCGGCCAAGCGAAGCAACTCCTTAGCTCTTTTGAGTCTATTTTCTTTCAGTTGCGGTGGAAGTTCTTACACTTTTTGGAATTTCAATGGCTTTACCCCGAGCTCATTTTTCAATATTTGACGAATTGAATGTTGCGATATGTTCAGCTCACGAGCAATTTTTGGCCACTGTGACGCGGGTTTTGATCAAACCGCTTCTTTACTTTTCTAACCATTTCTGCTGATGTTGCTTTTTTCTTTCGTCCACTTCCTTGACGTCGGGCTAATCTACCAATATCACGGTAGCGATCGATGGTACGAGACACAAAAGATTTATTCACATTTAAATGCTGGAGTGCTCTCTAACGAAAGCCACTTGTGGATTTCCTGCCAAATATAAAGAAATCACACTATCACGCTTGAATTCCATCACGAATAACTTTTTTTTTCTGGAAAATTCTCACCAAAATGCTTTTGTACGCTTGTAAACAATAAAATGAGCTGTTAACAGCTGTCGGTCGAGTGGCTTAGAAAAGACAGCAGTCTGAAGTTGGTTGCAGTTTTTTTTCATCTCACCCTGTATGTACATTTTGTCAAGTGTATAATTTAGAAAAATTACCTTCTTAATTATACGATGATGGAGACTTTAAACGGGTAAACAATATGGCATTTAGTCTGATTTTGAACAGATGACAGCACATCTATAATTTCGTCTTTCAATTAACTCCTCTTGTACCCAAACTTTTTGGAGCCAGTGTAAATTATCCCTTATTAATTGTTTGAAATACGGCTCTTGTTTTCTGTTTGAATTTCTCCATCGGTCATTCTCTCTCTCTCTCTCACTTGCAAAAAAACCTTAGTTTTTATTAGTTGTTGTCACTGAATGTTTTTTTGCCA